TATTTTTGGAGTGGTAATTCAACTATGTACCTATTTTTTATTCTTTATCCCATAGTTGAACTCTGTTCCGCTCTGTTAGGTAACATAAAAACATATTTATGATATTTTGCAAATGCGTGGAAAAAGTGATATCTGTGGAATACGGAAAATATTTCACAGATATCACCTTTTGGCAGGGATTTGGAAACTACCACCAATATGATGTGTTTTGTTACATCGTGATTTCATGACATCACGGGGATGAATGAATGAATGGATGTTGTTTTGATATGCTTTGTTTAGTTTTAGAGGTGAACTGTGGGAAAAATAGAACATCCTATGCATTTTCGTGATATTGTGTTAATCCAACTCATTGATATCAATATCTGCGCTAATTCGCTATGCTAACTTGGCAATATATTGATATCAACTCGGAGATAAAGATAAAATCATTTAAAATCATATGATATCCTATACATATCCTTTACTGTGCCACAACGTTCTCATATGTTATATAATTGCCACAGGCCATCACTTATTTTCCTTGAATTCATGCTTTTGTTCCTCGTTTTAGAAATGAGAGGAAATCTTTGATTTTCCTTATATTTAAGTTGCTTAAATGTTGCCCTGTTATGTGATAAAAGTGAATAGTAATCCATTACAGTCACAGTTGAAATGTACCCATTGCTAGCCCAGAACCTACCAAAATAGCATTTGCATTTTGTCAATATTGCCCTATGTGCTTTCCATGAAAATAATTTTAATTGTATCTTTTCTTCAGTATTTCATATATTACATTTTAATATATATAAATTGGTTAATATTTACATACTATTGACTTAGACAACAATAAATAAAGAATTTTTTGTAAAAACACCAAAAATGGTATATGATCTTTAAATGACTGTTGTGTGAACATCAAAGGTCAAAATTCACTGAAATTGTATTTTTATAAAGCACAAATGATTTTTCTTCAATATGATATGCATTATTATCAGATATCTTTGGGGGCTAAAAAGGGCTCTTAATGACACCCATCCTTTTTAGATTTTTTTATGACTGGTTTAAGAGAAACATGTGTTCAAAAAGTTGACCATATCGATACCACTCCTTTCACATAAATATACTTTTTATGGACTAATAGGGGAAGTTAATCCATGAGCAAATGCAACAAGCAAATTTAATTTGATTATTGCAAAGTAAATACATAAGAACAAATTCAAACTTACGGCCTTCCAGCATAGCTATAGTTGTTGAGAAAAGTTGGTCGCCGCCCTGGCACACCAGAGAAACTTATTCCCTTCCTGCGTGCTGGACGCTCACTTATAACAAGTTTTTCCACAGGGCCAACAAGTTTCTTGTGTCTATTCATTTTGATGCTTACTCCAGTATATCTAGAGTCCTGTTAATTGTCTTAGGAATATTGTTGTGTTCCAGTGCATTTCAGCTAACTATATGAGCAAGTTGTTATAAGTTGAGATTAGCAATGTAAGTGGACGTAAGTTCTGTTCATGGATAACCAGCTCATTTCAAACATGTAATATTCTTTAATGCTAGGTTTTCTGAGATTGTTCCTAGCAAATATTGGGTAATCTAATCAGAAACTATTGAATAAAGATAATAATTGCTATAATTATTATTAATTCCCATTCCTAACAATAATATGCATTGAGACTGTGCTAGAAATCAAGTGCAAGTGTTAATGTAATAGGTTTCCTCATAAAGATTCACTTAAATCTACTTGATTCAATCCACATACAGATCACCTTCACCTTTCTTATTACTATTTATTACAGGGCTTCTCTCTGGCTAATCAGCTGCTATACTGGCTCACAATATCTCCACTTTCAGCATATCAATTTTATTAACACTGATCCAATGTCCATTGTAGCTAGGGTATATGTGCAGAGTGTGATCCCTGCATATGAATATGAGGTAGTTACAGAATTCCTGACCATTAACAGTTTGTGTGTAAATCTTTGATATGCTTTGTTATTTGTTTAACCAGTTTGCCAAAAGTCATTGAATCTACTTGAGTAAAGTGCTTTGTAAATACAATAACAGCTGAGTAGTGCATAGTCCCCTAGTTCCTATCCCTATACAAAACTTTTGAACAACACTTCTGAAAACCCATCAAAATATTCATCTATTCATGAGTTACCTTGGATGGCTGACTTGTTTAGAATAATTAACCTTTTTATTCAAACCAGTAGGTTAAACATATATTTGTAGAACTGAAAAAATAATGTGACACTTGCAACTGCTACTGGATGAAAGAGAACTGCATTAACTGCTGTTGACTTTTTAACATTACATTTCTAGATTTATTTTCAAGCAAGATCAGACAAAATGACAACAACTGCACAGGTGAATTATACATGCAAATATTTTTAATACAAGTGGAAAGTCAACAAATACATGTATTATCAGAATCAGAAATTTTCAGATTTACAGTTTGGTATTGAAGTTAATGCTAGAGTTTATCTCTCTAATGTCAAATAAATTGTCAAACTTGAACTTTACAGATTAATTCTAAACTTCAATGGCATTTGAGGTATAAACCTCTATTTGAATATCCTTTCATGTAGTTTGATTTTGCTTTTTTAAAGAGAACTTTATCAAGGCTCTGGCAATCAGGCATATGAGCAAACAGTTAAAAATAGTAGAAGCTTGTAATTATAATCTTTATATTTGAAGTATTTTCTCAATTGTACTTTCTTGCATGGATTGAATGAACAAATAAATAAAAATAGTAAGGTGGGTACTAGGCTCACATTGTGTTACTAGTTTTCTGGACAAAAAGACTTTACAGACTTTTAGGATGGAAAATCCAAATTGGCCATTCTTCGGAATCTAAATGGTTCAAATCCAAATCTTCCGAATCCCATTAGTACAAATCCCATTCATCTGAAACCTAATGATCCGAAATTGATAATTGTCAATTTGATAATTTCTAAGGACCATATGGAAATATCATGATAGAAGACCTTTGCTTGATGTCTCAGCTCAACATTTCTAGAACCTGCATTTAATTCAGTTGACCAACTCTATGCCAATGACTCTCTATGTGCAATCAAATATGTGTAGGGATAAGCCCAGGGTAAACACGAAAATGAGGCTTTTGTACATCTAAATGTAACATTCAAATTAATTGCTGAACATAATAATTGCAGTGGAGACGTTTCCCATGTTGCAATGTTTCAAGTGTCCCATATCAAAATCTGTAACATATTGCTATAGAAAACGTGTCATGGTATACCATGGTATGAACATGGTCTATTGCCATGAAATGCAATGAAATACCATGGTGATACCATGGCCGATCGTAATCGTTAAACAGCATCATTGCATTTCATGGTAACAGCGCTTTTTTAGAATGGAGTTTTCCATTGAAAAAATACTGCTGTATTGCAGTATTTCATGGTCAGAACCCATCAAATGTAATGTCATAATGATGGTCAAAGCTCTCGACCATGATATCGTTGCATTTGATGGTTTCTGACCATGATACATTAGTCACTAAAACACTACAAACTACTACTACAACTATTCTAACTACAAATAATAATTATTATACAGTGTGATGCACACTATTAAACATATACACTTAAATTTTGAATCCATGATATATAAATTTTCCAATGTGTAATTGAACAAGTGTTCAGTAGCCATTAACCTTTTAAAAATATCTGGGTCATCACAATCAAAACTTGGAATAATTTTTTTTAATTTCGAAAACAAACATTCTCTATGAGTTACATATTTTTTACATCTTATGAGAAAGTGTTCTTCATCTTCAATAGAATTACATGTTGAACATTTTCTCTCATTTAGAGGTTTAGGGGCAGGTTTACAATGCCTCCCAGTCTCAATATGCAACTGGTGTGAACTTAGTCTAAATCTTGCAATACAATGCCTATACTTTCTATTGTCCAACTTTAAATATGATTCACATTCAAATTTAGTTTTATATTTACAATATGTTCTAAGTATAGGTGCACACAAAATAGCATTTTGCCAATCGGCACGATACTGTCTCATCAAAGTGCTATTTACATCCTTTAAAAATATTTTCTCATCAGGTATTTCCTGATTGTCCCAGTATTCTAACATGTCACATTTCTCAAGTATTTTAAAAACTTTGGATGCCCATGAGGGAAACCCAAGATTGTGTAACTCAAGCTCATATTTATATGTTTCAGATAATATATTACTTGGGCATAGTCTCAGGAGTCTAATCCAATATTTTAATAGTTGTACTTCAAATTTTATATACAATGGATAACGGCCTAAATCACCATAAATGGCATGTGTTGATGTCTGAGGTTTTACACATAAAGCAGATTTTAAAAACTTAAGATGGATTGTTTCAATTGTCTTCATTTGTTTATGATCTAGCCATATCTCAGAACCATAATTTAGAATCGGCAGAAAAAGTGTATCGAACAAATGCAAAGTGATACTAACCAGGATATCATTAAATTTATTGTATTGTTGTTTTATCTTGAAATAGGCTTTTCTTGCTTGTTCTTTCAAATGGTTGGAATTTTTATCAAACTTGTTATTATGACTTAAGACACAACCAAGATATTTATATTCATTGACTAAATGTTCAATTGTTTGATAATTAAACATAAACGGTTCATGGTCTTTATTCTTTGAATTAAAAACCAGAGTTTTGGTTTTAACTGTGTTCACAATTAAACGGTATTCTGTACAATATTTAAATAGTGTATCAAGCTGTTCTTGGAGTCCTTTTCTTGAGTTAGATATTAGTACAAGGTCGTCCGCCTACAGAAGATGGTTTATAAAAGTATTTTCAAGTTTTACTCCAGAGTTTGAGGGCAGATTATTTCTCAGATCATCAATAAAGTGATTGAACAAGAACGTACGCAATACACATCCTTCATTACACCGATATCTGTATTAAAGCATGATGATATACCATCTTGCAGCTTAAGACAAGATTTAGATTTTTCATGCATATTTTCAATAATTTTGAACATTTTTGTTTTTGGGAATATACCAAACTTGCATAGTTTATAAAAGAGGACTGTTCTATCAATATAGTCAAAAGCTTTTCTAAAATCAATCATGCATGTATAGAGTGTTTTCTTCTGTCAATTGAATTTATTTATTAGAGACCTTAAAATAAAGATGTTATCCGTAGTTCGCCGGTCATGTTTATAAGCTCCTTGAAAAGGGTCTTGTGAGTTGCTCATTTCTGCATTGAAAACTAGTCTATGTTGAATAACAGAGTCAAAAACATTTCCAAGAGTTGCGAGCACATTTATTCCTCTATAATTATCAGGAGAGAATCGACTTCCTTGCTTAAATAATGGTGAAAGCATTCCAATGCTCCATTTATCTGGATACTCCCCTTTTTCAAAGATGGCGTTAAAGAGTGCTGTAAAGGGCACAATAAGACTTTCGGAATTTTGATAATATCTGAAGGTATGCCATCTATACCTGGTGATCGATTAGAATTGATACGTTTTAAAGCCATACAAACTTCAGAGGTTTGAATAGGACCATTTATAATAATGTCACTTAATAAATCTATTGGTTCATCTAAGGATATGTTCTGAGAATCATGAATAAATGTTTGCATTTTTTCAAAGAAATTTTCATTAAAATAATCAATCTGCGGAGGTACAGCTAAATCTTTAAAGAGTTTATTGCACTGTATATCAATTTTCTTTTCCTATCGAAATTATATAAAACGTGCTCCCCCGAATCAATATAGATGCTCCACAGACGTAACAACCCCAAGACTTCACTATAATGGACGAATAAAGAAGTATAAAAATGCCCATCTGAATTTTGTTATATTTATTCTCCTTGGAAAGAGAGAAAATGGCCTTGAACCTAGAATGCACGCGCGATCTGAAGTAAGCCTACGTGCAATGTATTTCTGATATACAAAAGAATAATCTAATTGTACCAATCAATCGAAATATTGTAAAACAAGCATATTTCTAAATTGAGTAAAAGGAAGTGATTTAAACAAAAATGATAATAATAATATCAATATATATATAATTTGCGCAAGCCACGCGAACTTTCAAATTTCTGTCATGATCATGAAGTTGTTGTGTGATCAAAATAAGCTCAGTTTCATCACAAGGGCGCCGGGGATTAGTATTGTGTTAAAAATTAAATCCACATAATACTCCCATCGCCAAGGCCCCGATACAGTGTGAATCTGACCTTATGTAAGCGAGGTATTATTGGGCGTGTTCACTCAGGTGTTGTAATAATCGCTCGTGAATCGCAGCTCTGTCACGGTGAATAGAGGAGACACGATTCAAATTCAAATTGGTTCTAGCCTACTTCAAACGTATTCCGAGTGAACACAATCAGGGGGCCCAAACATTGTGAACTATTTATTCACAATTACAGGAGTGAGCGTGATAAGCTCTACTCAAAATGTATTCTGAGTGAACTCAACATGGGGGCCTATTCATCGTCAACTATTCATTCATAATTACAGGAGTGAACGTAACCAGCTCTATATTCATGTAGTCTAATGTGCCTATGTAGACGTCATCGTAGGCTCATGAATATAGAGTTCAATTGATCGAAACTGAAACAACACGTTCACTGAAGTGTGATTTATTAAGAACAACAAACGATTATTTGTATTTTTATATTCTAATTCATTTCCTTATGCTATGATGAACTTAATTCAACGGGAGTAGCAATTATTTATATATACCATACAATAAACACTTTAAATGCTGAAAATAATACACGAGGAGAAATAGGTATGTCATGAGTTGAATTTCCGGGAATGGCATGCAGCATCTTCCAAAATTCTTTACACTCATCCGTAAACCATCCGTTAACAGGAAATTTAGATTTTCGTTTAGACAAGTTTTTAATTTTAAATGTTTCTTCAGCTGCATAATTGATTGGGGCTAAGATTGCATCAGTTAAGTCATTTGAATTCTGAGATGAATCACCTAAAAATACAAAGAAATTTTCAAGTAAAGTTTTGCTAATTTTGTCTGTTAATTTAGCTTTGAAGTCAATCTTTTTATCACTGTCCCATTTGAAAAAAGAAAATGGAATTTTTTGAAAGCATGTGCTTGGTGAACCTTGTTCAACATCGGTAGGTGAATTTTTCTGAATATCAAAAATGAAATGCAATGGGGCGTGATCTGAATCAACTCTTTTATCATGTACTTTAAAATCACTTATAAAAGGAAGTAAACTTGGTTGTGAGATAACATAATCAACGACTGATTTCCCACGATAGGGGTTATTAATGTCATCTTGTAAATAAGGATAAAATGTAAATTTGCCCATATCTTTATCTTGATGAAATCGACCATTTAATATCTGCATTCCTGAAGACCAGTACTGTCAACCCCCAAAGATTTTCTCGCGGGACAGATTTTTTAGACCCAGTGCCCAAAATTCGCGGGATTTTGCGGGACATCTACTAAATTCGCGGGATTTCGCGAGACATTTAAGGGATTTGCGTGATTGCGCTTATAGGCCAATTTTTTTTTATCAAATTCGCGGGATTTCGCGGGACCATTCGAGGGACAAACACCCTAATTGCGGGACAGTTAACAGGTTTACCAGCAAAAACTTCATAGAGGGACAGATTTTCTAGAAAAAGTGCCCTAAATTTGCGGGATTTCGCGGCACAACCACCTAAATTTGCAGGATGTCCCGGGACATTCAAGGGATTTGCGTGATTTGGACTAATGTAAAAGCGTGTAAAAGTACTTGAATCAAACTTTCAGATACTGATTAATCAAATATAATGCACCGTTACATTGTAACTTAAATAAACGTCAACATAATTTCACAAAATACGCATAGAAATATTATTAAACTTTATTGTAATTTATCAAAAACAAAAACCATGCTTGAGGTGTGAGTATCGTAATCTAACACGAAATTCAAAAATTTGGAACAATACTTTGCACTTCTCTGCTTCTGGCGTCGTGACCAACTACTACCATACTGTAGGCATGGGCTTTCAATTGAGAGCCCATGATATAGGGGTTCGATTAATCTACATCAAATTATAGGGAATGAGGTTACTTTTCTAGATAGGGTTTGTAGAAAAAACCGGGTACCGGGTAGTAAATCCTCCATGCTGGGTTCAAACTTTTTTTTTTTTTTTTATTCCTTCATTCTTATTTATGTACATGTAAATGTAAATATAAATATGTACATGTAAATGTAATGCAATTAATAATATAAATAAAATTTACGTAGACAAACTTGGTACCCGGTTGAAAAACCGGGTACCCAAAAAACGAAATATACGAATATACAACATAATTAGATCATTAGAAAACGTGTAAGATTTGTTTTGAATTTACAAAAATGTAACTTCCTTCAAAATTGAGCTAGAAGCTTCAAATAAAAAGCATTTTAAGCCTCTTTTCTTCCTCTATCATCATGGTCATATTTCCATTGGTAATGAAGGGGGAGGGGGTGCGATCGCACCATCACACCCTCTCCTGGCTACGCCAATGACATTGTAAGACGATTTGAATAACAAGACAAATCAATTTTACTCTATTTTCAATGAGTTCGTATGTTGGTACGTGAACATAACCAATGAAAATATGGTCATGGCTATAGAGGAAGAAAAGAGCCTTAAAATATGCTTTTTATTTGAAGCTTCTAGCTCAATTTTGAAGGATGTTACATACATTTTTGTTAATTCAAAACAAATCTTACACGTTTTCTGATAATCTAATAATGTTATACTCGTATATTCGTATTTTTCATTTTTTGGGTACCCGTTTTTTGACTGGGTACCGGGTACCAAGTTTGAACCCAGCATGGAGGATTTACTACCCGGTACCCGGTTTTTTCTACAAACCCTTTCTAGATATCAGCGTCCATTTATTGTAACTCGCGTTTGCTAACATTTGCTCAGTTCTGAGATGAAGGCCACACGGATAGTAAAAAGGCCAACGTTGGAACTATTTGTGACCTACATCCCTATTGTCGTAATTAAAATGAAAGTTGAACCCTTCCTCTTTATTTTGATACCAAACAACAGCATGCTAGGTACTTGAAATTAGGTAAACTTTACTCCTCAAAAGTGCAAGAACTTAGCTTCTTATATAAGAAAAGATAATCACCATATAGGGGATTGCAACAATTTCGGAAATTCGCGGAGGTCGAAAGCCACATTTGCGGGACTTCGCGGGACATTGCGGGACACGCGAATTAGCCTAATTTTGATCGAATTCGCGGGATAATCCTGCCATTCGCGGGACACTTGACAGCTCTGGAAGACTTACATAAAGTAAGAAGTTCATGACCATGGGGTTTTCGGAAAAGACCGACCCCACCGACCACCGACCGGTCGGTGTTTTCCACTGGTAGCCTCAAAACAGGGTTTGAAGAAAATGTGTAAAAGACCGACCATATCATGTAAAAGACAGAACATATTTGTAGCCTTAGAATATTAATAATTTGATTTTGAATGTCAATCGTTGGACTAGGCAACGTTTTTTTACCGATTTTGTACCTTGCAACGAATGGCAAGCAAACAAATTGGTCATGACCGTCTCCTCTCGATTAATTGTCCTGCCTTAGGTCCTAACCTATCATTAACCAACCTATCATTTCTACGGGAATCTGTCCTAATTTTTTACTGAAATTTAACAATTTCGAAACAAAAATGATTTGTTATCGTCATAGCCTACTGACTACTGAACACGATATAATGTTACATGCGTTCTCTTATCGGGATTAAAAGTGACTTACCATTTCAGTACACCATTAGACAGCTTTTTTTGTCATATCAAATGTAGTTTTTACCAGTTGACGTTTAACAACTGAGAAATCAAACATAACGTTATGACGTCAACATCGACGATGTTTGTATGTTTTTGTTATTGCGTTTCATATGAATGAAGAATGAACTTAATGCAATGTTACGTGCGTTTTTTTCCAAAATGACTAACCAGGATGAAATTGGTCTTCTAACAACTGAAACATCACTTAAAAATATGACATTACACACCACGACGATGTAACATTTTCATCGTGATTTGAAATGATAATCATACGTTTATAGTCATTGGATTCCCAGTTTTAGTTTTACTTCTAATTTTGCATTTTTTCATCCTTATGTAAAAGACCGTCAGCCGACCACCGAACTTATGTACCCAACTGTGGAGAGTGACTGGTCGGTGGTCGGTGGTCAGCGGTCGGTGTTTTACGAAAACCCATGACCATGAGTTTGATTTATAGCAGTTATGTACATTCTTATCCATAGACACCCTTTTTGGTATATTTACATTGATTTCAGCCTCTTGTACATGTTCTGTTACAGGTAATTGCCCATTGGAACCAAAAATATTCATATGACAATCTGTTAGTTCCGCTGTGCGAGCATTGAATCTCCACACATCATTGTCTTACCAAGACTCTGGTAATGAGCAATAGAATTTTCAAGAATATCTAAATTACTTGTTCCTAAAATATTATCAAATGCTGAACCTTTAAATGGTAAGTAAACAAAACAAATAAAGATGTCTTGTGTGATAGTGTAAGCATTTGAGTTTAATTTAATCCAGACAAAAAAATCATGAGATTGGGGTAAGATCTCAATAAACGATCCATGTAGTATAGTAGGAACAAGGGGTTCCCATGCACCCATA